ATAGTACCAAGGTAACACAAAGATTTCAGACAATTAAAAAACCCACTAAAAGATAATAAAATCATGTTGGAGCATCATCAGAAATTGTTTACATTTCCAAGGAACAGTAAGAATCAGGACCAGCATAAAACTGGTTCCTTTGAGGTAGAGGTCACATATGCCTCTGTCCTCCAGTATCTTCTCTGTTTTGACACCAGACTTCTCTTCCCCCGCGGGCACACAGAACTCATCGACCATACTCACAGTTAGTGACTTGTTAAGGAAGAAACAGACCAAGTTGGAGCTAACAGGTTACAACTCAGGATTCAATCAGGACGGCTCTCTCAGGCCCTTCTCAGCAAGGCTAGCAGGCAAGTCTGGGACACGCACATGTCCTCTGGGCCACAAGTGTCCCCGCTCAGCCCTGCAGGCCTCCTTTGTCTGGCCTGTGTTAACGTCCTCTTCTCTTGACTGTGTGAGCTCCCTTTCTGCTGTCTAGCCCTCCTCTTAGTCATGCTAGCAGGCCTTTCTCTCAGCTGTGCTACCCACCTAGTTAGTGTAGGTTCCCTGTTGGCTGTGCAGGCCTCTCAACTTCTAAGTTGGAGTCCTGGTGTGCTGTTGTAGGATAAGCACTGGTCCACAAGATCTATTTGAACTGCAAGGTCAGTGGTTTAAACCCACCAGCCGCTCCTCGGAAACCCTATACAGGCTTGCTATGAGTTGGAACTGACTCGATGGCACTTAACAACAACAATAACACTTCTAACTCACTCACCTCACAGTCACTGTAGCAAATTAGTTGATTCTCTTAGCTGCTTTCCTAGCATCAACCTTCTTCCATCACCATAGACTCTTTGCCACAGGACCCCTTCTGGACTCCTTGCCATCTTCAGTGGTACTGGCCTTGAACTGTGTTAAAGCTCTTTAAGGAGCTATCTTGCTTCTCTCACTGCTGCTTCTCTCTTCTTGCCTCTAAACACCTCTGTGGGGTTTAGATGCTTATATAAACAAATTCTGCTGTTTATTTAAGAAAACTCCTCAAAACTTTCAAGGTATGGCCCTCCTTTCAGGACTACAAACTGACCAATTCTCTCAGTGGACTGCAAATGTCTTAATTTGCAGAGCAAACTGATCAACCCCTGCAAGGTGTGTAAAATTGACCAATCAGGGCAGACTGAAATGCAGGGCTACACAAGCGTATCAAATCATCATTGTTTACAGCTTATCCAGGAAATGTAGATCAATTTAGGCAAAAGTGAAAACCGTCTGAGGTAGAAACTAGGGCATAGGTAATGTCTTAGGGGTTAGAGGAAAAAAAAATCTCAAACTGCTTTCAAAAAAAGCAAAGCAAAAGTACACATCAAGGAACTAACTGCTTCACAAAAAAATAAAAATACATTAATAACCATAATACAATGTAAATGTATGAAACTACCTTGTTAAGATCAGCGGTTCGAAACTACCAGCTGCTCCACGGGAGAAAGATGAGGCTTTCTACTCCCGTAAAGATTTACACCCTCGGAAACCCTGTACAGGGTCGCTATGGGTCGGAACCGACTCGACGGTACTTAACAACAACAACCTTGTTAAAAGACAGAATTTGTCAGGTTGGATCAAAGGTCAATATTCAGCTAACTTTGTCTGGACAGGGCTGGTGAAAGGAGATGGGGATAAAACTCTTGTGGTTCAATAGTGAAAAACTGCTATCAGGACTGACTGTGAGTGTTGCAAATATAAAGGTAAATGTTTTGTAACAAAAGGAAGGGAGTGGCTGGTCTTGCAGTCCAGGAGTGGAGGACCCTGGGACCATCAAGGGAGGAAGGGCGGAGTGCGGGACCCTATCTAGAGAAGCAACAACGCCAGAGATGGAGGTAGAGATGATGATGTGGAGAGATGGAGCAGCTGGGGACTCTGGACTCAGTGAGGGAGAGGGGCTGTGTGCTGTCGGCCAGGGGGCAGGCTTGCGGGGTGTACCCTTTGGCTGTTTGATGATACATGCAGGGAATTGAAATCATTGCAATGAAACGAAATAAGATAGGATGAATGTAAAACTAATATTCTCCCATGTAAACTACCACATAATTTACAATAAAAACTTAAAAAAAATTTTGGACATATTACAAAAATAAAAAATTCAGCTAGCTCCTTGCTGTGAGTAGGTGCTACTGAGTTGGTTCTGACTCATAGCAACTTTATGCACAACAGACTGAATCATTGCCCGGTCCTGCTCTATCCTCAAAACTGTTGTTACACTGTGCCAATTTCTGCTGTCACTGTGCCAATCCACCTCATTGGGTGGGGCTGGGGAGGTCTTCTTCTTGTCCACTGACCCTCCACTTAACTAAGCACCATGTCCTTCTTCAGGAACTGGTCACTCCTGATAATACGTTAGAAATATGAGAGACAAAGTCTCTCCATCCTGGCTTCTAAGGAACATTCTGGATGTACTTCTTCCAACATTTGTTTGTTCTCCTCCAACACCATGACTCCAATGCATCAATCCTTGTACGGTCTTCCTTATTGTTCAACTTTCACATGCATATGAGGCAACTGAAAAGACCACGGTTGGGTCAGGCACACCTTGGTCCTCAAACTGACATCTTTGCTCTTGTACACTTTAAAGAGGTCTTAGGCAGCTGATTTGCCTAATGCAATACATCGTCTGATTTCTTGATTGCTGCTGCCATGAGTGTTGATAGTAGGTGACCCTGCTGGTATTTAAAATACCAGTGGCATAGCTTCCAGCATCACAGCAACACACAGTTCACAGGATAAGTTGGTTTGTGGTATTTATGTGCTGTGGAGTCGGTTCTGACTCATAGCGACTCTGCATAGAGTTTTCAAGGCTGTAAATCTTTACAGGTGCAGAAAGTCTCATCGTTCGTCCACAGAACAGCTGGCAGTTTTGAACTGCTAACCTTGAGGGCAGTAGCCCAGCTCACGACAACTATGCTACCAGAGCTCCTTTTATACTCAGTAGGAAGGCAAAATTGACTAATCCCCTCATTAGATTTCCAGGTTTTCAACAATCACAATTAACCCTGTTAACAGTCGCTCACAACTGAAGCATATAATGCTTTCAGTATCTCCCCCCAAGCCCATCAGGAAAAAGTTGTTTGTTAGGAATGACTAAACCATGGCTGCTGCTGCTGCTGGTTACGTGCCATGGAGTTGGTTCCAACTCATTGCGACCCCGTATAGGGCTTCTGAGGCTGTAATTCTTTACGGGAGCAGAAAGCCTCATCTTTCTCTTGTGGAACAGCTAAGAGCTTCAATCTGCTGACTTTGAGGTTAGCAGGCTGATTTGTAACCACTATGCTACCAGAGCTCCTTAGACTATGGTTAGCAGAGACATATTAAATAATTCACAGTGGTGCAGTAAGAAACTGTCAGATCTGAACCCCATCCAGAATCTTCTGAGGTGGGAAATTTCCACTGGAAAGGACAAGCAGACCAACCTGGAGTGGTTAGAAGGACAGAAGAAACTTCTTAAAAGAAAAACTGACAGGAAAAATACAAAACAATAATGGCAGTCCGACTACTAGAAGAACAAGCAAATTGCTCGCCCAGGAGACATCAAGGCAAGTAGTTGGGTCCCCTCAGGGCAAACCCCCTTCCAACACTGAGACTCATGGGAATACATGAGCAGACTGGTGAGATGTTGGTCACCAATAAGGGGAAGTGAGGGAAAAACAGCAATGACGCTGAGAGCTGAGTCCAACCCTGTTCAATAGACTCCTGTGAACCTGGGTGGAGACCTGGTTGGCCAGCAGTTTGGCAAGACCTGGGGACTCTTGGGCCCAGAGTCAGTGACATAGCCACAGAGGACTAGAATGGAGAATGAAGTGTCCAGCTGTTAAGAAGAGAGGGCATATGCACAAGAATACCCACACTTACAGATAATACCCAATTGACCTGGCTTCAATGGCTGGATGATCAGAGCTCAACTAGAAGAAGAAAGAAGAGGAAAAAAAAGACTAATCTGATACAATTTGATGAACTTGACCTACACCTATAGATGCAGTAGCTCAAAAGAAGGAACAAATCTTTACAGCGAGGATCATTCCAACCCCCTCAATACACAGGGTAGACAGGGATGGGTAACTTGGACATTGGCTACCCAAAATGGGGGGAGCTACAAAGGCAAGAAGTGACTAGCTTACAAACTTTCAAGGGGGAGCCTAGATCCAGAGGGCATGGAGGAAGGTCGAATCTTCACTGAGTAGTATCCAATATGTCAGGGTGGGACTGATGAAAGGAGATGAGGATAGCACTCATGTGGCACAATAGTGAATAATTGCTATCAGGACTGACTGTGAGGGTTGGAAATGTAAAGGTAGACATTGTGCAGCAAAAGGAGGGGAGTGGTTGACTTTGCAGTCCAGGAGCAGAGGGCCCTGGTACCATCAAGGGAGAAGAGCAGAGAGTGGAACCCTACCCAGAGAAACAGTGATGCCTAAGATGGAGGCAGAAACGATGGTGTGGCGAGATGGAGCAACTGGTAACTCTAGACCCAGAGAGGGAGAGGGGCTGTGTGCTGACGACCAGGGAGCAGGCTTGTGGGGTATACTCTTTGGTTGGTTGATGATGCATGGAGGGGATTGTAACCATGGCAATGTAATGATATACGATAGATAGGATGAATGTAAAGCTAATGTTCGCCTATGTAAACGATCACATAGTTCACAATAAAACATTAAAAAAAAGAAACTGTCAGAAATTCAAGTTGGATTCAGAAGAGGGTGTGTGGAACGAGAGAAATCAATACTGATAACAGATGGATCTTGGTTGAAAACAGAGAACACCAGAAAGCTGTTTACTTTGTTTTACTGACTATGTGAAGACATTTGACTGTGGGAAGCACAACATATAATGGATAACAATGTGAAGAACAAGAATTCCAGAACACCTAATTATGTTCATGAGGAACCTATACATAAACCAACAGAACAAAGGGCTAGATACTGTGTGGTTTAAAATCAGGAAACTTGTGTGTCAGGCTTGTATTCCTTCACCATACTGATTCAATTTGTATGTAAAGAAAATAATCTGAGAAACTGGACGATATGAAGAACCAGGTAGTATTTTGTTTTGTTGTATACAGGGTCACTATGAGTAAGAACTCATTTAATGACACCTAACCACAGGTCTGCTATTCATAAGGTTTTCAGTGACTAAAATTTCGGAAGTAGTTCGTCAGTCCTTCTTCCTAGTCTGTCTTCGTCTGGAAGCTCATCTGAAACCTGAACCACCTTGTGGTTCAAATTGACCTTGAGGTCCAGTGCTTTATCCCACAGCGCCACACCAGAACTCCAGAGCCATTACTGGTAGTGGTGGCGGCTGTGTGCTACTGAGTCACTTCTGACTCATGGCGACCCTGAATAGGGTTTCCAGGGTGGTAAATCTTTGCTCAAAAAGATTTTTTGAGCAGAAAGCTTCACTGCTATCCCACAGAATGGTTGGGAGATGCAAATCAAGGCTGTAATGAAATGTCACCTCACCCCAAGAATGGCAATGATCAAAAAAACAGAAAACAACAGATAAAAGGTGGACTCTAGAGAAGGGCACATCTCTCTTTGAGAGGAAGACAGGAGAGAAGAAAAGAACTGAGAGAAATGAATGGAAGTGAAGGGGCGGTTCCCTTGAGAGCTGAGGTTGGGAAGGTTTTCTTTCTTTTGTCTCCCGTCTTTATTCCACAGCCTTGGGCAAGGCTTTGGGGGAACTCAAATTACTGCTGTCATTTGTTTCAACTGCTAGGATACTGGATTAGCCTTTGCTCACCTGAGCACCACTGTTCTTTCATATTCTTTGCAAGGATCCAGGGCTCTTTCCCTTGTTCCAATAAGGAGATGACATCAGGCTTAGAAATGGAGATTCCTGTTTATAAGAAAAGAAAGGGGACCTCATCATACTGTTTCAAAATGCAAATCCAGTCAGTCCTTTGGTTGCCAAGGAAGAGAAGCAATTATAAGAAGGAAGGTAAGGAAGGGAGGATGGAGGCATCCAATGTAACCGCCCATTTCCAATTCCACAAAGCACAAAACAATTTTCTCGAGAATAGAAAGCAAAAATGTAGCCAGAAACTTTTAGTCATCCTAGAAATTCACAATAAAGATATCAGAAATTCTATGTTAATCCTAAATTATTTGGAATGTAATATATATATATATTTATTGTTGTTATGTGCCGTGGAGTCGGTTCTGACTCATAGCAACCCTGTACAGGGTTTCCAAAGCTGTACATCTTTACAGGAACAGAAAGCCTTATCTTTCTCCTGCAGAACAGCTGGTAGTTTCGAACTGCTGACCTTGTGGTTTGCAGCCTGATTCGTAAACACTATGCTACCAGAGCACCATATATATATATATGGGTCAGGATTGACTTGACGGCACTTAACAACATATATATATATATATATCAATGAGGGAACATGATGGCTCTGTAGGATCAACACTGGACTACAAACCATAAGGTTGGCAGTTCAAAACCACCAGAGTGCTCCTTGGGAGAAAGATTTCCAGTCCCAGAATCCGTATACAGGGTTGTTATGAGTCTAAACTGACTTGACGGCACTTAACAATCATACTTATGATGTGTCTCTATAGTTACCCTTTTCTTCCCTCAATCCATTACTTGCTGTTTCTTGTCCTGTTCTGTGTCCCTGTCTGCAAGGACTAGTATCTTTGTCCTATGGTTCCCTGTTGGGCTTGTTAGATGGAAAACTCTGGCAAGTCAGCAGGCAAGAGAAAGAGTTCAGGATATTTTTTTTGTCCTTCTTCCTTCCTTCTTTGTTCCAGGAGTTCTGGTAGTAGCTACAACTGCTGTCTGCTGGGCCCTTTTCCTTGGCTCTAGATCACACCATATTTTGGTGGCACTATTTTCTCCCATGGAGTTCTGGTGTGGCGCTGTGGGTTAATAATGCGCTGGACTGCAAGGTCGGTTTGAACCATAAGGTTCAAGCTCACCAGCCGCTCCTCAGAAACCCTTTACAGGGTTGCTATGGGTCAGAACCGACTTGACAGCACTTAACAACAACAACAATTTTCTCCCTTGGTTCCTTTCAGTCAGAGGTGTAACAGTCTCTCTCATTGTGACTGTCCATGGTGCCTTGTTTCCTGTCTGTCCATGTCTGATCCAATATCCTTACCTAATGAAAGTAAGTGACTGAAGTTCTCCAAAGTCACATCCCTGTACAAGTCCTTCTGGGTAGGTTCCAAGTACTTCCATTCTTCCTGAGAAAATTCTATGGTCACATCTCTGAATGTCACCATACCCTGAAACAATAAACCAATCCATTATTAGCAATTTAAAGCAGTTAAAAACAACAAAACAAAACTTCTTATTATAAAAGAATTTAAAATACACAACAGTCCCAGAGAACAATGTAAATAGTGTAAACAATATTTACACATCTTGTTTCATCTCTTCTCTTCCAATTCCCTCTTAGTGTTTCCTGAGGCAAATTCCAGATTATCAACATTATAGTATTTGACCCCGAAACACTTAGTATCTAACTAATTACACTCATTTTTAAAGGCATAATAATGACATCATTTTTGCATTGACAATATTTTTATAATAACCAGACTGAATTCAAATTGCCCCAATTTGCTCAAAAGTAAATTTTTGCAGCTGGTTGGTTAAATCATGATTATACAAGATCCCACACTGCATTAAATTAGTAGGTCTTCTGAAATTTCTTGGTATCTAACAGCATCTCTAACCCCCTTTTTAAATTTTATTGCCATTTATTTATTAAAGAAACATTTGTCGCTACAGAATTTCCTACATTCTGTAGTTCACCGATTGCATTTTCATTGTGTAGTTAGTTTAACATTTTGCTCCAATTCTAAATTTTCTGTAACATGGTAGTGAGGTCTGGAAGCTTGATTCACATTTTAGGGGACATGAAAATACCAATGTTGTTGCTAAGTCAGTTCTGACTCACAGTGATCCTGTGCTGGGTTTCTGAGGGGCAGCTGGTGAGCTGGAACAGCCAATCTCGGGATTCAAACCAGCCTTCCAATTCAGCGCATTAACCCGCAGTGCTACACCAGGACTCCCAAAATACCATAGAGATATTATATACTTACTGCATCCTAGTGAGAGGTAGATAATGACTGAAAGTCCAATTTTTAATCTGGTTAAAATTAGGTTTGACATTAAGGAAAATGTCTGTAAGATGGAAAGACAGAGAAGATGGAAAAGGCATTGTAGGAAGCAAGAAAGCAAGTAAGTTAGGGCTGAATGCCTATTCCACGAAGGAGGTTTAATAAAGCAATTTGTGTGACTAGAGGACTGCATGATCTTGAATATTTCTGTGGATACAGACAGAACCTTCTTTATACAGAGGGACTCCTTTATTTTCCACACAGGTCTGGAATAAACAACTTTGTATCTGGTAGCGTAGTGGTTACGAATCGGGCTGCGAGCCTTAAGGTCAGCGGTTCGAAACTACCAGCCGCTCCGCGGGAGAAAGATGAGGCTTTCTACTCCCGTAAAGATTTACACCCTCGGAAACCCTGTACAGGGTCGCTATGGGTCGGACCCGACTCGATGGCACTTAACAACAACAACAACATATGTAAATAAACAACTATGCATAGGAGTCCTGGTGTGGCGCTGGGGACTAATGCACTGGATTGCAAAGTTGGTTTGAATCACAAGGTCAGCGGTTCAAGTTCACCAGCCACTCCTTGGAAACCCTATATATGGTACTTAACAACAACAACAACAACAACAAATATGTTAATAAACTACTTTTTTGTAATAAGCAAGCTTGTCTATGCTATTTCAGTTATTTATGAGATCTCATAAATGGTGGTCACATAAATAACTGAAATAACCTAAAAACACACACACACACAGCAAACAAGGGCCTGGAAAATTAATAAAGTCTTTAAAGATTAGTTCCTTTCACCACTTTTCTCTTAAAATAATAAACAAGATGGAATCCAAAATACATAGAAAAATCTCCGTCTTAAAATATAGGATTTGTAGACTTTTAAAGAATTTCCTGAAGATACAGGCTTGTAACATTAATTTGAGAATCTAGATCCCACTACCCCTTTGGGACAAATTTGGGTTTCCACCAGGAACTCTCTGGTTGCCACAATGATGGGAGCATGGAGAAAGGCACTGTGCTACCAGCAATTAGTAAGGCAAAGTGTTCTGAATTATCAGACCATATACCCAGACTAGTCTGATACTGCAAAGAAAAGTACTGCTGAAAATGCAAATAGTGTTTTGGATATGATGAACATACTGTTATGCAAAGGAGAATTTTTTTTGTCTTTTTCCTTGTTGAATTAGACTGTTCTTTTAATCTAACTGCCTGCCTGAGAATTCATGTTTGTTTCCCTGAACACACTTCTGCTATCTGAATATGTTATTGCTAGAAACCATAGATCACTAAGGAAAAATTTTCTCCGTAGTCAAGCCAGGATATGGAAGAAATAAACCCCAAGCAAGGGGATTTTAACTTATTTGTTGTTGAGTGCTGTCGAGTTGGTTCCAACTCATAGTAACCCTGTATAGGGCTTCTGAGGAACGCCTAATGGGTTTGAACTGATAACCTTGTGGCTAGCAGTCCAGTGTTTACCCCACAGCGCCACACCATGACTCCTTTAGCTCATATTGTTGTTGTTGTTAAGTGCCGTTGAATCAATTCTGGCCCAATAGCAACCCTGTATAGGATTTCTGAGAGGAGCTGGCAAGTGTGAACCTCCGACCTTGCAGTTCAAACTGACTTTGCAGTCCACAACATCACAGCAGGACATAGCCCTTCGAAACATCCCTTTAATGATAAAGAAACAAAGTCTCACGAAAAAGCCTGGAACTGTTGCCACTTGATCTAAAATTTCCTAGGTAATCAGAACAGTGTCACATAAGTTAGCAATTTCTAAAGTAAGAACTTTAGCGTGAATTTTTATCATCATCTCTAGCCTCAAAGAATGTCTTCCTTTAACTTTGACACTTTATGATCTGGTCTGAAGAGGATACGCTGTAAGCATTCTGATATCATGATTGTAAATTTTATAGTCTACCTAAACATATCTATCGCCACTCATCTGTCAGCTTGTTGCACTGTGGTGGCTTGCGTGTTGCTGTGATGCTAGAAGCTATGTTACTAGTATTTTGAATACCAGCAGGGTCACCCAAGGTGGACAGGTTTCAGACGAGGTTCCAGACAAAGACAGGCTCAGAAGAAGGAAAAACTGACTACTTCTGAAAGTTTTGTCATTGAAAACCTTATGAACAGCAGTGAGACACTGTCAGCTAGCACCAGAAGATTGAATATTGAAACACTAAGGATAGCATAAGAATATTGTTAGATACAGTGATGAAAGATGAGCCCCTAAGGTTGAAGGCACTCAAAATACGAATGGGAAAGAATTGCCTCCTCAGAGTAGAGCTGACTGTGATGACATGAATGGAGTAAAGCTTTCGAGAAATTCCTTTGCTGCTGGGGAACAACTCAAAATGAGGGGCAACAGCTGCAAACATCCATTAATAATTGGAACATGGAATGTACAAAGTAAGACTCTAGGAAAATTGGAAGATGTCATAAATGAACTGGAGAGCAAAAGGTTTGACATCCTAGACATTAATGAGCTGAAATGGACTGATAATAGCCATTTTGAATCTGACAATCATGGTTGAAGGATTCTCTGGGCAAATTATTGAATGATGCAGAAAGCATCAAAAGAAGATGGAAGGAATATGCCATGTCACTGTACTAAAAAGAAATGGTCGATGTTGGACCATTTCAAGAGGTAGCATATGATCAAGAGTCAATGGTGCTGACAGAAGTCCAAGGTGCACTGAAGGAATTGACAAAGAATAAGGCCCAGGGAATTGATGGAATACAAATGGAAATCTTTCAACTGATGCAGCACTGGAGGCACTCACTCATCTATGCTATGAAATTTGGAAGACAGCTAGCTGGCCATAAATCCACACATGGAGTACTCTTAGGACACACCTTTTATCACAACACTGAGAAACAAATTTGTGAAAGGAGCACCAGCATCAATGAAGTCTGCTGTGATTGCTATTTATGTAAGTCAAATCTGACAGTGGGAACTGCCCTAGTTGAATGAAGACACTAACTACAGTGGAAGGCGCCCTGGTTGCATAGTGGATTACAAGTTAGACTGCTAACTATAAGGTCAGTAGTTGAAATCTACCAGCTGCTTTGTGGGAGAAAGACAAGACTTCCTGATCCTGTAAAGATCTACAGCCTCGGGAACCCTATCCAGGGTCGCTATGAGTCAGAACTGACTTGGTGGCATATAACCACCACCATCACCAACTGCATTGGAGCTGACTGGAATCACTGGTAGTAGGGGCCCACTTAATCGACAAAGACAAGATGGGAGTAGTTACTGTAATGGACAGTAAAATCAAAATAGTACTCAGAATAGTCTGACTCGTGTTAACTAATGGTACTGGTTACTTCTTCAGGTAATCAATCCCTAGGAGTAAAACAGATGGAAAAGCTACAAATATTTACTTGATCTGTACAAGCGAAAGAATTGCAGGTGAGCATTAGTCTTAACTTGAGTCGCCAGAACAGTGTCATGGCCTCTCAATTAAATGCCAGACTTGAGTCAGTTTACAGACCCACAACCCCTTGAGGAAGGTAAGGCCAGCTCCCCTTGAGGAAGGATGCCAATACACCACAGAAAGGTTATACTTTCAGTTTTTCTCCCAGCTTTCCTCAAAGGGATCAGCAGTCTTTCACAAGAGTGAATGTTCATGGGGAAGAGGAAATAATCAGACTTCTGGGGCATTACTGGATACTGGCTCTGCACAGGAGACCTAAAAAGTCACTGAGGTCTACCAGTCAGTCACACTGGGGACATATGGAGGTCAAGTTATTAATGGAGTCTTATAAGAGCTGTCTCACTGTGGGTCCCTGAACGGATCTGTGATGGACAAGCTTCTATGTCAACTTGACTAGGCCAAGATTTCCACAGCTTCAGCAGTTGGGATGTATTTATTCTCATGGTGATGAAACCTAATACAAGCATAGTTAACTCTATGGTGAGTGTTTACAAGCAGCCAATCAATTAAAGGGACATTTCCTTGGGGGTATGGCCTGTTCCCAATATAATGGACATGCGGAGAAAGCTATCTCTATCACTTCCCCTGGGGACCTGGGACTCTGCAGTTGTAAGCCATTTCCTTGATGATAAATTTCTCTTTATATATATTTATACACACACACATATGTTTCACTAGTTTTGCTTCTCTAGAAAACCCAGTCTAAGACAGCATCCTATAGTGATTTCTCCAGTTCCAGATGCATAATCAGAATAGACATACTCAGCAACTGATAAAATTCCCACACTGGATCCATGACATGTGGAATAAAGTCTATTATGGTAGGAAAAGTCAAGTGGAATTCCTTAGAACTGCCTCTATCTACATCAACAGTAAACTGAAAGCAATACCGTATTCCTGGAGGGACTGTGGAGATTAGGGGCACAATCAAGGACTTGAAGGACGCAGGGTGGTGATTCTCACCACACCCCCATTTAACTCACCTATCTGGCCTGTGCAAAAAAAGATGGACCTTGGCGATTGACAGTGGATTAGCACAAATTTAACCAGGTGGAGACTCCAATTGCAGCTGCTGTTCCAGATGTGTTTTCATTGCTTGAGAAAATGAATACATCTCCTGGTACTTGGTGTGCAGCTATTGATCTGGCCAATGTCTTTTTCTCAATTCCAGTCTTGAAGGATCACCAGAAGCAGTTTGTCTTCAGCTGGCAAGGCCAGAAATACACCTGCACTGTCCTTCCTCAGAGGTTTATTAGTTCTTCAGCTGTTGTTGCTGCTACGTGCCATTGAGTTGGTTCCAACTCATAGTGACCTTGTATGGGGTTTCTGGGGCTCTGACTCTCTACAGGCAGAAAGCCTCACCTTGCTCCTGTGGAGCGGCTGGTATATTTGAACTGCTGACCTTACAGTTAGCAGACCAATGTGAAACCCACTACGGGTACCAGGGCTCCCACTCTTCAGCACTTTGCTACAATTTAGTTGGCAGGTGCCCTGATCACCTTTCTCTGCCACAAGACATTACACTGTTCCATTACATTGATGATATTTATACTGACTGGACCTTGTAAGGAAGAAGTATCAATGACTTTTGATTCATTGGCAAAACATCTGTATGCTAGAGGGTGGAAAATGAACCTAAGAAAAATCTAGGCACCTTCCACATCAGTGAAATTTCCAGAGGTACAATGGTGTGGGATATGTCAAGATAACCCTACTAAAGTGAAAAATAAGTTATAGCATCTGGCCCTTCCCATGGTGGACTTTTTTGGGTTTTAGAGGGCACAGGTCCCTTGATTGGCTGGGCTACTCCAGCCTATTTATCCAGCGACTTGAAAAGCTGCTAGTTTTGAGTGGGGCCCAGAATAAGAGAAGGCTGTGCAACAGGTTCAGCCTGCCGGGCAAGCCATTCTGCCACTTGAACCACAGAACTCAGATGAGCCAATGGTGCTTGAAGTGTCAGCGGCAGATAGAGATGCAGTTTGGAGACTTTGGAAGGTCCCTGTTGGTGAATCACAGCACAGACGTTAGGATTTTGGAGCAAAGTCCTGTCATCCTTTCCAGATAACTAGAGTCCTGGTGTGGTACTGTGGGTTAATCGCCAGACTGCAAAGGCATTTGAACAGCAAGGTCGATGGTTCAAGCTCACCAGCTGCTTCTTGGAAACCCTACACAGGGTCGCTATAGGTCTGAATCGACTCGACGGCACTTCACAACAACACAACAACTGTCCTTTTGAGAAACAAGTTTTGGCTCGTTACTGGGCCCTAATAGAGACTGAACACCTAACCATGGGCCATCAAGTCCCCGTGACACCTGCGCTATCCATCATAAACTGAGTGCTGTCTGACCCAAAGAGTTATATAGTTGGATGTGTCCAGCAGCACTGTATCATTAAAAATGGAAGTGGTATGTATATACGAGACTGGGCTCGAATAGGACCTGAAGGCATAAGCAAGTTCCATGCTCAAATGCCCATGGTCTCCAATCCTGTCACATTACCTTTCCTCTCCCAGTCTACACCTCTGACCTCATGGGCATTTCATATAAGCAGCTAACAGAGGAAGAGAAAACATATGCTTGATTTATAGAAGGTTCTACATGACATGGAGGCACCACTTGCAACTGGACAGCACCAGAACTACAGTCCCTTTCTGGAACTTCCTGGAAGGACAGCGGTGAAGGGAAATGCTCCCAATGGGCAGGACTTTGAGACATGAACCTGGATATTCACTTTGATTGCGAGGAGAAATGGCCCGATGGGGAACTGTATACTGATTCATGGACTATTGTCAATGGTCTGACTGGATGAGTAGGAACTTGAAAGGAACATGATTGGAAAATCGGTAACAAGGTGTGGGGAAGAATTTTTTAGATAGACCTCTCTGAATGGGCCAAAAAAGTGAAGAGATTTGTGTTTCATGTGAATGCTTACCATTACCTCAGCAGAGGAGGATTTTAACAACCAAGTGGATAGGATGATATTCTCTTAAGAAACTAATCATGCTCTTTCCCCTGCCTCTCTTGTCACTGCCCAATGGGCTTATGAATAAATTGACCATGGTGGCAGAGATGGAGGTTAAGCATTGGCTTAGTAACCTGGGCTTCCACTTATCAAGGCTGATTTGGCTACAGTCACTGCTGAGTGTCCAATCTGCCAGCAGCAGGAAACAAGTGAGTCAATGATACGGGGCCTGTCCTCAGGGGATCAGTAGGCAACCTGGTGGCAGTTTGGTTGCACTAGGCCATTATATTATGGTGTTGTTTCTACAATAGCTAGGAGTCACAGGTCCAGGAAGCAAGGGGTGGGAAGAGAAGTGGCATCACTTCTAGTGACCCACTCATGAGATTTTTGCTTCATGTCCCTGCAACCCTATGCTTTTTAGGTCTGCACATTTTATTGCTTTAAGTTAAGAATGTTCCCTGGCCATTTTGGGATCCTCATGTCTCTGGATCAACATATAAAGAAGGGAGTGACAGTATAGTGTGAGGCAATTGATCCTGATTCCCAAAGGGAAATGGGATTGACATCCCATAATGGAGGTAAAGAAGAATTATGTACAGAATTCAGGAGCTACCTTAGAATGTCTCTAATTGTAACCTTGCCCTGTGATTAAAGTCAATGGTAAAATATGGCAAGCCAATTCTGATATGACTCCTAATGGCACAATCCTTTCAGGAATGAAAGGTTTGGTCACCTCACCAGGCAAAAAGCCGTGACAAGTTGAGGTGCTTAATGAAGGCAAAGGGAATACAGAATAGGTAGTGGGAGAAAATAGTTCTAAATATCAGCTAGGGCCACAGGACCAGTTGTAGAAATGAAAACTATAATTGTGGTAATTTTTTTCTTATATGTGTGCATCAAATAATTTTGTTTTATTCATTTATAAAATAGAAGATGTAAACAGGGTCAGTGTGTTTTTGGTTGTATGTGTTAGTTGTATTATGTTATGCACAGACTTTATAATTGTGTTTATTTAGAGTGTGGGTGGAGAACGTCTGGCCCACGTAATCATTTGGTCTGGCCCTGCCAAGGCAACTGCAGTTCTAGCCATATTTGTTGTTGTTGTTAAGTGCCGTCGAGTTGGTTCTGACGCATAGTGACCCTGTATAGGATTTCTGAGGAGCAGCTGGTGAGCTTGAACCACCAACTTTGCAGTTCAAACGGCTTTGCAGTCTGGTGCATTAAAGGTGAGTTAATGAAATGTTTGACCGAATACAGCAGGCTAATTTCTAAGTTGATAATTTGGCAGTTAAGACATAGTAATACCCAGGATGAGATCTGCTATGAGCAGGGAGCTGGCCTGTTTCCAATGTACTGAATGAACACTTGGGCAAAGCTCACTTGTTTTGTGCAGGGTCTGGACTGTCATCTGACCTTTGGTTCTTTGGACTTGAGCCAGTGGTCTGCTCTACTGCCTGCAAGTGCTGGGAGAAGTCAACAGCTGGCCATCTTACCTGCCTGACCACCTGCTTTCTTACCTGCTGTCTGTCTCATCTGACCTGCAGCTATATTAGTCAGAAGCCTCCAGCCTGACAGCTGACCAATGGACATAGGACTTGCCCAGCTCTACAACTAGTGAGCCATTTCTGTTATATAAACCTCTCTTTATATGCACATATGTAAGTTTCAAAGGTTTTGAATTCTCTAGAGAACTCAGCCTAGGGCAAATGACACACACAGAATTAAAGGCAGTCATTCCTCCTGGTGGGGAAGGAAGAGAAATGACCAGGAAAGGAGATGCAGGTTGTTTAGACAATATATTGGTCAGGGGATGAGTTCCCCAGTCCTCCTTTTTTCACTCTTGACATATATTGTTGTTGTTAAGTGCCCTCAAGTCAGTTCCAACTCATAGCAACCCTGTGTAGGGTTTCCAAGGAGCTGCAGGTGGATTTGCACCTCCAACCTTGTGGTTTACAGTCCAGTGTTTATAAGTGTTTCTGTATATACACTTTATAGTATGAAGTGTTTTATGAACTTTTCAGAGGAGTTGACATTTAAAAATAGAAGAAAGAAAGAAAACTACCTTGGTAAATAGGAAAAAAAAGAAAAGTGATTCCATCTTTAGCCCCATACAGCCATGGTTCTGAAAAGGAGAGTTTCTATATTTCTCTCAAGGAAACATATCTCTGCCCCCACAGAATTCGGGGAAGAGCATCCTGTACAAATGTGAACAACTGTTGGAGAAGAAAGATCCATTAATGGAAGAATCTGGAAACATTTTGGTTTGACTTCTGAGTAAGTCAGGAAGCTATTGCGCATCACCATTCATTCCCTGGAATGAAAGAACTGGGAGCAGATTACTGCTGGAGGCTCAGCAGGACAGGGGCATTTCAGAATAAAGAACACAAATCTTCACATTATTTGTAAATAAAAAGATTATTGTAATAATAAAAAAGATTATTAAGGATAGAGGACATTTCAACTTACCTGGGCCATGGCTTTTGGAATGCCTGACTTGATCCACTTTCTCTGGATTCTTTTCTCAGACAAGTGCAGAGTCCTGAAATAGGGGAGGGGAGGAAAAAAAATTCAGGTAAACCAAGATTGCCTCACCATTTCTTAATACCAACCAAAACCAAAGCGGCTGCCTCTGTGTCAGTTCCACCTCACGGGGACCCCACATATGCCGGAGTGGAACTGTGATCCACAGTGTTTTCAATGGCTGGATTTGTGGACCGAGATCACCAGGCCTTGTTTTCTGAGGTGCCTCTGGGTGGTGCTGAACTGCTAGCTAACCTTTCCGTTTGTAGCTTAGTTCATTAAACATCTATAACCACCCAGGGACTCCACTTCTAAACAGCACTACGTGGCTACCGAGGAATTGAAATGTGTCTAATATGCGTCAGAAATCAAACTTTGATGTTTAACTTCTTTTTTATCTCAATTTAAATTTAAGTAGGTCTAGAATCTAGAGGCGATCAAAGCATAAAGTGACATCATTGAAGGTATATGAATACAATAAAATAACTATGAAGGCAAGGATCTCATGATCTCATGATCATCGCTGCAACCCCAGCACTTGCCTCAGTGTCTGGAGGATAGAGGTGATCAATAAATTCTAATTGATACCATATGCTGTTTTGGTATGAGATAGAGAAGGACACCAAGATGAGTTTTCAGCTTGAATAACTAGAAGTATGAAGTTTACTGTTTATTATTATTCTTTTTTTTAACAGAGGGAAGGTTGAGAGTAAAAGGTCTAGATGGACTGATGAAGATTTCTGTGCTAGACCTTAACACTTGAGATGTTCATTACATATTGCCAAGTAGCTAGGTAAACATTTGATTCTGCTGTTAGGGAGAAAGTTCTAATTCAGAAATAGAAAATTGGTATACAGATGTTAATATTGAAAGCTTTCAGAGTACATAAAATCACCTATACAGTGAATGACAAAGAGAAATTAAACAAAGGTTTAGGAAAAGGAGTCGTCAGTGGGTGGAAAGGAAAAAAATCAGAGAAACCAAGATCTTGGAAGGCCAGTGGAGAAAGCATACCAGTCAGGAAGTTGAGAACAATGGTTAAATGCTACTACCACGTCAAGTAAGGTGACCCAACAGAAACAACAATCAAACAATAGCATTAATATCACATGCAAGTAAAATTTTGCTGAAAATAATTTTTAAAAATGGTTGCAACGGTATGTCGACAGGGAGCCTCGAGAAATTCAAGTGGGATTCAGAAGAGGATGTGGAACAAGGGATATCGTTCCTCATGTTAGATGGATCTTGGCTGAAAGCAGAGAATAGCAGAAGGATGTTTACTTGTGTTTTATTGATGATGCAAAAGTATTCAACTGCAGATTATAAAAAACTATGGATAACATTGTAAAGAACTGGAAATTCTAGAACACTTAACTGTGCTCATGTAGAATCTGTACATAGACCAAGAAGCAGTCATTTGAACAGAATAATGGATACTGTGTAGTTTAAAATAGGAAAGGTGTGTGTCAGGGTTGTATTCTTTTACCACACTTATTCAATATGTATACTAAGCAAATTATCCAAGAAACCGGACCATTCGAAGAAAAATGCAGCATTGGGATTAGAGGAAAGCTCATTAACGACCATCGACATGCAGATGACGTAACCTTGCTTGCTAAAAGCAAAGAGGACTCGAAACATTTATAATCTTCAATATGGATTACATCTCAATATAAAGAAAAATCCTCAGAACTGGATCAATGAACAATATCCAAATAAGAGAAGAGTGAAGTTGTCAAGGATTTCATTTTATTTGGATTTATAATCAATACTCAAAGAAGCAGCGGTCAAGAAATCAAACAATGTATTGTCTCAGGCAAATGTGCTGCCAAGTATCTCTTTAAAATGTTAAAATTCAGAAATGTCACTTTTAGGACTAAAGTGCACCTCACCCAATCCATGGTATTTTCAATCCCTTCATACGCATGCAAAAGCTGCATATGAGGGAAGACTAGGGAAGAATTGGTACATTTGCATTATGGTGGTGGTGAAGAATATTAAATACAACGTAGACTGCCAGAAGAACAAATCTGTCTTGGGAAAAATACATCTGGAATACTCCTTAGAAATAAAGATAGTAAGACATCATCTCACATGCTTTGGACATGGTATCAGAATGGACCAGTCCCTGGAGAAGGATATTATGCTTTATAAAGCAGAGGGTCAGAAAAAGAGAGGAAGACCCTCAAATGAGATGGATAGGAAAAGTGGCTGCAAAAATGGTCTCAAACACAACAACTATGAAGATGGTGCAGGACTGGGTGTCTTAAGCCGGGATTTCTAGAGAAGCAAAATCACTATGGGTCGGAACCAACTAGAGGGCACTTCACAATGACAACATGTAAGGTATGGCAGGTGTCCTGGGCACCACTTGATGGGGGCCACCACTGAGCAGTTTCTATTAAACCATCGCAGTGTCTGTCACCAGCTATGAGAGCTCATTCAGTAAGTTAAAATTAATGCTTTGAGAGCATCTATGGGTCAAGACTTCGTCTTTCATACTTGGGACATATTGTCAGGAGGGACCAGTCACTGGAGAAGGACATCATGTTTGGTAAAGTGGAAGGTCAGAGAAAAAGAGGAAGATCCCTACCAAGATGGATGGCACAGTGGCAGCATCAGTGGGCTCAAATCTAGCAACAGTTGTGAGGTTAGCCCAAGATGGGGCAGTGTTGCATTCTGTTCTACATAGGGTACATGAGTTGGTACTGACTGGATGGCACCTAACAACAACAACATGGGTCAAGGCAGACTGTGTGATCTTGCTCTTCTAAGTGTGGAAAGAGAAGAAACAAACAAACAAAATAACTCTGAACACAACTTTCATTGGTGAAAGAAGGTACAATTGTAATTTCTATATAGTGCCGTAATGTATGAAGAAAAAGATCAACAAGCTTGTCTTGTATTTGTGAATTGACATTACGGTAAAGTCATCTTAAAGGTGGTTGGTTGTCAGATGTTTGGACAGTGGCACAATTTCAGTACTTGCCATTAAGTATTTTCTGTAGCTCTGCCTCTGGTCATAAAAGACAAAGAACCATCAGGGAACTATAGATAGCAGATCAAAGGAGACTACGAAGACTTTCCCACATGTGATCCTGCATGGGACTCTGGTCTAGAATCAGGACCGAGGGGACACTGATGGAGTTTGAATAAGGTTTGTAGATTAATTAATAGTATTATATCCTGTGTTAATTTACTGGTCATGTACTGTGATTAAGATGGTAATAGTATGGAGAAGCTGATGGGGACTCTTTTCGCAACATTTTAATGTCTGAAATACACTAAAAATGAAAACAAACAAATAAATATTAGGTGGGGAGCAAGGAGGACATGGCCTTTCAGTCTATCTCCAGGGTTGTTGTTGTTAAGTGCTGTCAAGTTGGTTCCGACTCATAGCAACCCTGCATAGGGTTTCCGAGGAGCAGCTGGTGGACTTGAACTGCTGACCTTGTGATTAAAACCGACCTTGTGTCCAATGCATAATAGGACCATCTCCAGGAGACTGGTTATTTACTCCCATGGCAATACTGGAGACCAGGTAGTTACCTGAGGGTATTTTTTAAGCAAGAAAATCACATCCTGAAAAACAAGAAAGGCTTCAAGGCAGGAAGAAGAAACCCAACTGCTTTTACAGAACAGAAATGTATTTCCTCACAGTTAAGGAAGATCGGAGTCTGAATTCAGACTATGACTTTAGGGGAGGTCATTCCTCATCTATTTTGGCTGATGTTTCTGTTCTGTGCCTTTGAGTCCGCTCATAGTGACCCTGTATAGGGTTTCCAAGGAGAGGCTGGTGAACTGGACCCGCTAACTTTGTGGTTCAAACCAACCTTGCAGTCTAGGGCATTAACCCACAGCACTATACCAGGACTCCATTTGGCTTCTAGGAGCTGGCAATCTTTGGAGTTCCTGGGCTTGAAGATTCATCTGTCCCCTATGCTGGCTCCCTTTTGTCCCCTATATGCTTGCTTGTATCTAATCTGCTCTTTTTGTAACTCAGAAGTGATTCGGTTTGGGACACACACAATTCTTTCCATACTTGGAAGGGTATAATTGGGTTAAGAGACAAGAAACATGAGGCACCAGGCCCTAGTCTTCCACACAGGGAAGGGAAGTCAGAAAAGACTAGACATCTTTCGCAGTCTCAGAGTAATAGAGAAATGGCGAGTCACCACCATCAAAGACCAAAATTTGTCCGAATTTCACAGGCTCTGCAAAGGACAAAGCATTGGAGTAACAGACAACTCACACCTACATACTTGGTATTATACACATGGTCACAGTGTCACAAAAAACCACAACCACACATCCATTCTTATAACTGTGACAAGAACATAACCACACAATCACAGAAAGTCCTTATACATGATCACAATCACACACCCACTATAGGGACACACACCATCACTGGCACCCAACTCTGGCCCACTAAGTGTCGTCCAGTCATAAAACCAAACATGCACTCTGGAAACACAGTTACACCCGCACAACCAAAGACACCCCACACTCACACTGTGATACACAGTCACAAAGACACCATTTCACACATATACACACTCTCACGGGGCACAGGGCACAGTTACATACTATCGCAGATCATTCACAAAAGGGTCACACACCCAGTGTTACACGCATACTCATGGGCAAATGACAACTGCACACAGTATTACACGAGGTCACAACATCACACACTACAACCAAACATCTACCTTGGAGACATGCAATCACAACCACACATTGGTCACACAATCACAACTACAGTCACTGCCCAAAAGTCTTACTATCACATTCACAATAGAAACACATGCAATATCACCCCCAAAGTCACAAGCATCGCACACTCACACAGTTGCGTACATAGTTACACAAATGCAATCACACCACACACACACCTTGTTGATAGGCAGTCACAACTGTACATTCACAGACACCCATATCCAGTCTCAAAGACACAATCACACACAATCAGAATCACGCATCTTCAGACCGCATCCGCCTGCGCGCTCAGATGGAGGCTCCAGACACGCCCCGTCCCCGCCCCGGACTTCCAGACCCCTCACCTTCAGCCTTCTCTTGGTCGCGTCCGGGTACCCGCGGGGCTAACGCTCTTGCCACGACGTAATACGTGACGTATGACCGCTGTGAAATCTGGGAAAGGCAGTCCACAGCTAGATCAGACGCGGACAAGATGGTGTCATCTCACTTTTAAGTCTGGACGTGGGCCGTTTGGTACAGCGTTCCAGAAGGCGTCAAAGAGAGAGTTCCCATTCCATACCTACCACCAGACTTGAGATAATCTTCTAAGGAAGACCTACTCATCCTGACAGCCACATAATCACGGGAAGAGGCAACCAAGTTCGTGTAAACAGCCAAGGAACTGTTAACCTGCAAAGCCTTATGGGAAGTGTAGTCCAAGACTATAAAAGCGGCGTTGTTGGCTATAAAAAGTAATCAAATACCATCCTGGGCTTGGCCACGGTGACTGAGCAAGATCGCCTCGCGGAGACTTCTGGGAGTTCTGGCTCCCCTTCCGATTGCGCAAGCGCAGCGTACCTAGTGGACATTTTGGTCTTTGTCCTCGGGTCAGTCCGGCCCCTGGGTCCACGTGGCGCAAAAGTAGGAGGTGGGACCTGGGCGTCTCGAGCCATCCGGGCCGGGGAGGCTGAAAGGGAGGATTCCTGATCTGGAGGGGCGCGGCGCGGCATTAAGGGTGGGTTTAAGAGTCTCCGGCCTGTGTGTGCGGTGAGGGAGTAGGCCTCTGAGGAGGATCCAGCGCGTGTGACCCTGAGTTTGTCTATAAGTTTGACCGGATGTTTGCGGTTGTTGAGTAAATTGAGAGACCGTGGGTACAGAATTGTGTGTGGCTGCGCGTAAGTGGCAAATGTGGGAGACGAGCGCTGAGGTGTTAATATCTGAGCCTCACTCCCCTTGTCTAAAAGCTATTTATAGCGGCTACAGAGCAAAATGTCAGTCTGGCTGAAATGAAAGAGTTTTCATTTAAAGGCGAGGCAATTAACAAATTGGGACTCACAAGGTCCGCAGGATTCTGAACTAAGTGATCCAAGGAGCAGTTTAAGGGTTTTTTGTTTTTTTAATGAGAAAATATAAGGAACTGAAGTAAAAATTCTGTGATTGGTTGACATTTAGGTAATAGTTTTAAAATTGGGTGACGGTACATCTGATTGGGAGATTACATCTTCTCAAGTAGCTTTTTAAGAAGTTACAAAGTAATCATTAAATTGGGTACGTCTGTCCTTAAAACAATCATGAGATCCTTTTTGCGTGACCATGGGTAGGACATGTTTAATTCTGAAGTTTATTTTGAGTGTGGCTGTTCAGAGCATTGGTTTTGGACCTGTCTTCTTACGCAGCGAGCAAGTGAGAATTGTTTACCATTCAGGGTCCAGCGGAGGGTTCAGGAGGACGGGCGACATTCCTGATGCAGAGCTCATGGTAGATTCAAAATGGAGCTGGAGCCACAAAGCTACCATCTCACGGCAAGGCTTCGTGTTTCAGATGCACCTCTCCCTGGAGCATCTGTTTTACTTGAAGATTTTTGAAGAGATAAAAAAAAAGCCAAGTGATAACTGATTTTTATATAAAAACATTTCTTTTTAGTAGAGGCAGGATGCAAATAACTAATGTACTCTTTTAAACAAGTGAGAATGTTTTGAAGGAACATTTTGTTATGGAAGGTCTAATTCAGACAGTCTCAGATCCTCTGATTTGGGGGATACTTGGATGAGGCTGCCTGGTGACGCCCTAGATTAAACGATAGCTTTACACTTGGAGAAACAGTCATAAGCACAGGAAGCCCAGTATTTGGTGTTCCAGGTCGGGCAGTTAACCTCATTTTCAGGAGAAAGCATAATTGTTGTGATTATTATCCATGAGCCTGGACAAATTCTAGGTGTCCTAACTCCTCATTGAGTTGAGGTGTTCCCAGGCCAAATGGATTTTGTGAAGTAATGCAGCAAATTACTTCTATATGCAAAAATGCTTATTTTAAGGAATTTGTCCACAGTCATCTGCTACATAATTTTAAATAAGAGAAGTAAAGCCATATATAATACCAAAATTATATATAGAAACCAATAATGGCACTGTGGGTTAATGCTCTGGACTACAATGTCAGTTTGAATCTCAAGGTTGGTGGTTCAAGCTCACCAGCCACTCCTTGGAAACCCCATATAGATGGTCACTATGGTTCGGAACCGCCTCAACGGCTCTTAACAATAACATAAAATAATCAGAAGTCCTAGTAGAAAAAAAACTACTTAAATAGCAACAAAAAGATAAAATATTGAGAATTAAACTAAAGAAATATACAAAACTCTAAGAAAAGAACTTTTAAACAGAGTTATTAAGCTCTGGTAGTGTAGTGGTTACGAATGGGGCTGTGACCACAAGGTCAGCAGTTCGAAATTACCAGCTGTTCCGCGGGAGAAAGATGAGGTTTTCTGCTCTTGTAAAGATTTACAGCCTCGGAAACCCTGTACAGGGTCGCTATGAGTCGGAACTGACTCCATGGCACACAACAACAACAATTACTAAGGTAATAACAAAACAAATACATGAGTAAATACACCATTTTTTTTCAGTAGAGACTATTCAGTCTGAAGTAAATTAACATCTTAATAAAGATTTAGTTATTTCCATCTGTAATTAGACTTACTGATTGATTCTGTAGTTCATATGATAAAATAGACATACCATATGGTAGAATAGCCAATAAGATTTTGAGAAAATAAGACTAGTTGGGGTGATTTTGTTAAGTGTCATCGAGTGGGTTCCAACTCAAAGAACCCTGTGTAGGGTTTCCAAGGAGTGGCTGGTGGATTTGAACCTCTGACCTTGCAGTTCAGCCCCACCTTGTGGTCCAGAGTTTATCCTACAGTGCCACAAACACCAGAACACCTAGCCATAACAGATTAAAAACTAAAACCTCACAAATGAGAAGTAGTAACGGTATTGGTGCAAACAAAGTCTGTGGAGAGCAGTTTTCCCATTTCTGTAATAATTGTCAATATTTTTCACTCATCTCCACATATGGGAATGCAGCATACTGATATACCTGCATATGCGTGAACCAATATAGGCTTGAGGTTGCTTTATTGCAGCATTGTTTGTTGTAGGAAAAAACTAGAAAGAATTCATGTCTATTGGATTAGTTTGGTAAAATTAAAAAGTTCTGGTGTGGTGGTGTAGGATAAATACTGGACTGTTAGCCACAAGGTTGGTGGTTCAACCCCACCAGCGGCTCCTTGGAAACCCTGTATTGTATAAAACCCTAATAAGGAGCTCTGGTAGCGTAGTGGTTACGAATCGGGCTGTGAACCTTAAGGTCAGCGGTTCGAAACTACCAGCCGCTCCGCGGGAGAAAGATGAGGCTTTCTACTCCCGTAAAGATTTACACCCCTTGGAAACCCTGTACTGGGTCGCTATGGGTCAGAACCGACTCGATGGCACTTAACAAAACAACAACTGGACAAAAGGCTCAGAGGAATTATTTACCTACACCAAAATAATACCACATATGTATTGTTAGTGAGAAAAAAAGCTAGATGCTGTTTGTATTGTGTGTTTGTGTGTGTGTAGAATAGGTAAGAATATTTATATTTGGATTGTTAAAAAACACAAAAGAAACTAATAAAAGTGGATGTCCACTTTGTATCTTGGTAACCTTAGGAAGATATTAGACCTTAATATCTTAATTTCTCATCTATTAGTATAGAGTAATAATTGTATGTGACTCATAGGTTGGTTGTATAGATGGAGTTAATGCTGAATTGTATTCAAGTCTTTTGCCTGTTTTTGATTGGGTCGTCTTTTTGTTGTTAATTGGTGGGGATTTTAATATCAGTAAGGAACCCTGCTGGTGCAGTGATTAAGTGCTCAACTATTAACAGAAAGATTGGCAGTTCAAACTCCCCAGCTGCTCCACAGGAGACAGCCTTGGGAATGAAACCTCCTTGGGGACAGTTCTACTCTGCCCTACAGGGTTGCTACGAATGGGAATTGACTCAGTGACAATGGTTGGTTTTGGTTTTTTAACTTCAGTAGATAATCCTTGGTCAAATTAGTAAATTTTCAGGACTTGTCAGATGATAGTTTTCTAGTTTTTCATTCCTTCTACACTCTGGTAGCGTAGTGGTTACGAATCGGGCTGTGAACTTTAAGGTCAGCGGTTCGAAACTACCAGCCGCTCCGCGAGAGAAAGATGAGGCTTTCTACTCCCATAAGGATTTACACCCTCGGAAACCCTGTACAGGGTTGCTGTGGGTCGGAACCGACTCGACGGCACTTAACAACAACAACAACACATTTATTTTATATCTAGGCTTGTGTCAAGTTTTTCTTGGCCTTTAAGTTTTCTTCCTAATGCTCAAAATGTTCGTTAAAAAATGTAATTAAAAGATAATGAAATTTTCCATGAACTTTTTGAAGCCTCCTTGTTTTTGGCCACTGGACACTTTTAGCCCTGACTGCTGTTGCCTTTTGACTTGACATCATTTATCTTTGAAAGCTTCCTTACACTAACTCCATGCTTACCTTATACCTTTCTCCCCCAGACCTGGAATTGGCCAAGGTTTGTGTGCCAAGTATTATTGCTCCAGTGGTAACATTATTTTGAGGCTATTTCAATGTCAGAACTAGTATTTTTTTTTTTTAATTATGAGTTTATATGTTGGTATTTACAATTTAAGTGGTAGTCTTTTTGCATAATTTCTTAGATCTTAACTGTATTTTATGCCAAAAATCTTAAACTAATATGTAAGTACTTATTTTCTTTGCTTTATTGTATGAAGAAAATGGTTTCAAAATAACAATACTAATATTAGTAGCAGTGTCCTTGGATGGTGTAAACGGTTAAACATGAAAATACTAGTGTTGTTGTTGGTTTGAACCCACCCAGAGGCTTAACAGTCTGCTTCTGAAAGGTCACAGACTTGAAAATCTTGAGCAGTTCTACTCTCTACACACTTGTGGTTATCACTTGAGGACAGCTAACAATAACATTAATTGTTAGGTGCCATCAAGTCAGTTCCAACTCACAGTGACCCAGTATAACGTTTCTGAGGAGTAGCTGGTGGGTATGAAACGTCTACCTTGTAGTTAGCAGTCCAGTGCTTATCCTGAAGCACCACACCAAGACTCCATGTCATTAATGTTGTTGTTAAGTGCTGTTGAGTTCGGTTACCTAGGCTTTAAATCTTCATGGGATCAGAAAGTTTCATCTTTCTCCAGAGGAGCAGCTAGTAGGCTCAAACCACAGAATTTGTGGTTTACAATCCAGTGTTTATCATATGGAGATTGTTGTTGTTATGTGCCGTGGAGTCGGTTTCGACTCATAGTGACCCTGTACAGGGTTTCCGAGGCTGTAGATCTTTACAGGAACAGAAAGCCTCATCTTTCTCCGGTGGAACATTTGGTAGTTTGGAACTGCTGACCTTGTGGTCACAGCCCAATTCGTAGCCACTGCGCTACCAGAGCTCCTTCGTATGGAGCTTATGGCTCCTTAATTTTTGTTTTTTTTTTAAGGAGCCCTGGTAGTTTAGTGGGCTACATTTTTGTGTATTAACTGCAGAGTTGGCATTTCGAATCCACCAGCCTTTTCCGTGGATGAAATAATGAGGTTTTGTGTTCCTGTAAAGATTTATAGCCTTGAAAATCTAACAGGCTTGCTGTTAGTCAGAATCAACTT